TGCTGAGGGCTCTGCAGGAGAAATGCCTCTGGAAGGCTTGGCTGGCTGTGGGAAGTTTGTTGCTGGCATGGGAAGTGCGGGACAGAGCTCAGTCAGGTTGGTGCCGGGCTGGCCAGGAGCTACACCAGCTTTATCCCAGATTCCCTAGGAAGCTTTGGATCAATGTTTTCCTTCCTATGCCTCACTTTCTATACTTCTCTGAGCAACCTGGGCTAGTGGAAGGTGTCCCTGGCCCATGGCAGGGGGTGGAATGAGATGAGCTTTAAGGTCCCTTCCAACCCAAACCACTCCATGATTCCCATCTAAACCTCCATTTCCTTTCTATACCTCTCTCTCTCTCTTTTCTACTCCATTAAAACCCTGTTGGCACAGCACTCCAGGGGAGCCTGAGGCTGGCAAAGATCCACCAGCCCAAAGCTCTGCTCTGGGAGGGAAATCAAACCCATCCTGGAAACCCAAGGGCTTGGCTGAGCCCACCCTGGGGGGCAGCGGAAGGACAAGCCGTGTCCTGTGGGCTGGGAGACAGAGGGGCTTAGAAGAAGGATGCAGCTGGAGCTGGGATGAACAGAGCCAGGCTCATCCAAGTGCTGGGATGAACAGAGCCAGGCTCATCCCAGTGGTGGGAAGAACAGGAGCCCCTTTCTTGGCGGGCAGGGGCCGTACGTGCCCACGGCACACACGGCACAGTGTCTGGGAATACTGGGGCTCTGTGGGGTTTGGATGCAGCTGGAGCAGGGTGGGACAGCCCTGGAAGCCCCTCGAGGCTGCAGGAAAGGGTTGGGAAGGGCTCTGTGCGCCCAGAGGGATTTAGAGCTGGATCCCAGAATAGCTGGGGTTGGAGGGGACCTCTGGAGATCACCCAGTCCGACCGCCCTCCCCAGGCAGGGTCACCGAGGCAGGTGACATTCCAGGTGGGTTTGGAATGTCTCCAGAGAGGGAGATTCCACTCCCTCCCTGTGCAGGCTCTGCTCCCCCTGGGTTTGGGGGGGACAAGGCTGGGAATGGGGGCTGTGCTCCCTCAGGGGGTTCGGAGCACTCTGAGCTCACAGGGATGTTTTTTGGCACCTCTGCAGTGGCTGTGAGGGTGGAAGGTGCCACTTTGGCACCTCCTGTCACCCACACATCATTTCTCACAAGGTTGGCACCCATTTGGATTCACTGCATCCCAATGACTCCGCTTTCCCTGGCAAATTCCTGGCAAAGCAGCATTGCTCTGTCTGGGGAGACACTGCCTGAGTCAGGGGCTGGGAAGGAGTCCATCCATCCCTCCCTCTATCCCTCCCTCCATCCATCCCTCCATCCCTCCATCCATCCCTCCATCCATCCATCCATCCATCCATCCATCCATCCCTCCCTCCATCCCTCCATCCCTCCCTCCATCCATCCCTCCATCCCTCCCTCCCTATTTGCATCCCTACATCCATGTTAACCTCCCTGTACTCCACACCCCCTCCTTGCCATACACACAGAGGGTTCCCAAAAGCATCCCAAAAATTTTCCAAGCGCTCAGAGCAGCTCCCAAAGCTCCTTTCTCCAGCCAAATCCCCCCCTGGAGTTCACATTCCCGTTGCTCCTGGATTCCAGGGAATGACCCACACTCTCCTCTCCATGCCCTGGGAGTTTTTCACGGGAAGAAATAAAACTCTCCCTGTTTTTTGGGGGTTTCCTGCAGGGAACAAACCTGGGGAAATCCTCGTCCTGCCATTCTTCCTTCACATCCACGTTTTCCATCCGCAGCGTGGCTTCCGTGGTTCCCATCGTGCTCAGGGCAGGGCTGGAGGCAGCAGATCCCCCAGGGAAGGGCTCAGGCTGGAATGTGAAGGCACAGAGGTTGGCACGGAGCATCCTGACCCGGGAGCAGGTAACTCTGGCACCACATTCCCCGGAGAAGCAGCGGGAGAGCTGCTTGTTTGGGGAAAAGGAGCAAAACGTGGGATTTTGTGGCTAAATCACACATTTTGGACCGGAAAGGGGAGGGGAGGTTGGCCCTGGGTCAAAGCAATGGATCCCAGCTCGTGTCCCTGTGGATCAGCACTGCCTGGGCTCACATCCACACCTTTTCTCCTTGTGGCTTCTCTTTCAATCCCAATCCTGATATAAACACCTCTGTGGAGGGAAATGAGATGTGGCTGAGAGGGCAGAGCAGTGTGAGCTCCTCCCAGGCTGCTCCCAGCCTGCTTTGGAAGCAAATTCCATGGTGCTGCTCTGGATGGAAGTTACAGGCTCTGGCTCTGCAGGGAAATTCCTGCCACTGCTGCCTGCTCTGTGCTCCATCCCTGTGCTCTATCCCTGCTCCCAAAGACACCTGGAGGAGGAGGAGGAGGCTGCACAGGGATGCTGAGTGTTCTTCCACACCCCTGAGGGATCCCCATCACTGCCCTGCACCCAGATAAACCAACCCAGACTCAAAAAAACTGGAGCAGCTCGACTGGAGGCAGGGTGGGGGGATGTTCCCAGTCTGGGCCTTTTCCTGCACTGGTAGGAACGAGCTGAGATCCAGGAATCCTGGTTTTCACCCACACTCACCCCCCAGGGGCACGAGGGGCCCTTAATCCACATTTATATATTCTTTTTTTTCGCCTTCACTAGAAGGTTTCTGCTCCCAGACAGCAAAAAATCGGATGTTTGTCCCTAATTCCTTGGGCCTGCACCTGCAGCTCCCAAAAAAAGTCTGGCTCAGGACTCGGGACCAGTCCCAGCAGGACCAGCAATGGTTGGGGAGAGCAGACACACCATTCCCAGCTGGATCCTGCCCTGAGGGAACAAGGTCAGGCCTGACCTTCTCTAGAACATCCTCAGGTGGAATCAGCTCCTGTGCTGGGCAGGGGCATTATCCCACCCACTGCAGGACGGTTGGGAATGTTCCTCCTGGCTCAGCCTTTGAATTATTCCAGGCACTGGCTGGATAGGAACATCTTTCTGCCAGGATAAGGGATGGAGGGATCCATCCTGGGTGGATGGGGCTGCTCTGTCCATCCCCCAGGGCAGGGACATCAGCACCAAGCAGGGTTTGCCCATTGCTGGGAGGCTCTTCCCGAGAGCCAGAGCTTTTCCTGCTTCCCTTGGAGAGAAATCTCTGTGAATTTTGCTTTGAAGGAACGAGGCCTGAGTAAATCCAGCATCCCTCTGTATTCCAGGCCCTGGAATCAGCAAAAAAAAGAGCTGGCTGTCAGCATTGCAGGGCTCTCTCCCTGCCTGGATCTCCCAGAATCCATCCTGGATTCTGCCCCCCCCCCCCAGCCCACACCTGGCTCAGGGGGTGCCCACACATCTCCCAATTTTTTATTTCCTTGGAATTCAGCCCAAATAGATACTCTGGAGCTCCGGGAGAGATCCCACCTTCCCCCTCCCTCCCCGTCAGCTGCTTTCTGCCAACCCTGGAGGCATCATGGAGGGAGGAAGGAAGGAAGGAAAGGAAAGGCAGCGAAGCCAAGCCCGGGCGGGAGGGTTTTCCCGGTGTCCCACCTCTCTCCCGGCCGGTGCCCTACTCACCGCTGCCGGTGCTTAGCGAGGAACAAAGCTGATCCCGCCCGTCTCCCGGCTCGGCATTCCTCCCGATGGGAGAGACCGCTCAGGAGGCGCAGCACCTGGATCCGGATGCAGATGGAACGTGGGGATGCATCCAGGTCGGCTTCTCGCACCGCATCCGTGGCTTTGTGCTTCGCTCGGGAAAGAGGGATGGATTGAGGGCAGTTATTTGTATTCTTCCATGGCTGCTGCTTCCTCTGCCGCCTCCCTCCCCTCCCTTCC